CAAAAAAAAAAAAAAAAAAAAAAAAAAAATCAGATAACCTTCTTCATTTATGTCAAGAGGTGGGAGCTCGAGTCATCATCATCACTTGATGTTGCTGAAAGCTGAACTGATCCCTATGAGAACAGCTGCTTGTTCAATGCCTTACCTATAATGTCCCATATCAATCATATCTTACTGAAAATGTATATATAAAATACTTGTATTGGAAAATTTCTTCATATATAAGATATTTGTATCGGTTTCTACATCCTTGATGCGCCTCTGAGATTATTAGTACATAAAAGGGTAAGACAATTTTAAAGTCAGCGATTGTACTGGGCATAATTCTTCATCAACCATATCCCAGTTGCCATTTCTGTTTACACCCGTCTATTTTATCCCTTGAAACCTTAATTTCTAATAATGACTCCCATGCATTCTGAGGTGGCTGAGGCAGCTAGGAGGCGGCTAGAGGCGGCTGAGCTGCAGGCTAGGATTTATAGGGGGTGGCTGGTAGGGTGGCTTGTTATTATGTAACAGCTGTCAATGTTCTTCTTACATTGAAAACTGTCAATGTTCTGAATATTTTTAATTTGTAACTCGGAATTTTGACAGTTTTCGAGCCCAGCTCCATTAAAAAAAAGAGGGCTCTATGTATAATAAAAGCAGGTCGTTGCGTGGAAGCTCGGACTCGAAGATGCACAGCCCGAACTGACGGTGGTTACGAAGGATAACAGATGGATTAAGCTTTTGAAACCGAGGAAGAGCTATGAAGCATCCATTAGAACCTTTTTGATCACTGTCCAGTTGCTTCATTTTCTGAGGAGGGAACCCAAGTCGTCGGAGGAGAGCCTTCGGGATCACTTGGGAAAAAAAATTACAGGTGGTTTTGCACTTGTATCTTCCTTTTATGTTCTCAGTACTAAGTTTTCGGTGATAAAACTTTTGCTACGTTGCAGTTCGTTTGACGATCGGCCTTCTGTCAATGACCTCCTAGATCATTATCCAGAAATTAAGCTGCTTTGTAGAGTGGGATGCTGCATTGGCAAAATCTCAGGTCTGAACAACTCAACAACATATATGTATCTCTCTTTCTAAATGCTCTTGAGAACATTTTTGGATCTTTCTCATGTCATTATTGGCATCTTAATCCTATACTATATATATTGCACAATGCGTGTTTGGAGCTGTGTCATACCTAATTAATACAATCAATCAATATTTTATTTTATGTAACAAAATCCTGTGGACGTAGTGCCTACAAGCTATAACTTGTTGGTATCTGTGGATTGGTGCGTTCTGTGATTGACAAATAATCCTTCTCTATTTGGTTTTGTGGTTTCCAAGTAAGTAGATGTGATGCTCTTGTTTAAATTGTTGTAGCTGGGAAAAGTTTGATTTTTATTAACATCGACTACGAAGCTATGAGTTACAGAAATGCGTGCTATCCTCTGTAAACAATACCCACGTTTTTTCCTCTAAAAACTGTCATAGCAAATTTGTTCTTTTTGCTATGAGTTACAGAAATGCGTGCTCTGTCTCAATTAGTATCTTTGTCACAGTGACAAATTTGCGCAACATGATAGTGAAGTTTCTGGGTACTGAAAAGCTAATCCAGATTGATAGTAATTGTGCACTACAGGAATCAGAAATCTTCTTTTGTATATAAATATCACAACATAACGATTCTAAAATGTGGAGCTTATCAGAACCCGCTTCTGTGCTTCACATTAATGTAAGCTCAGAAATGTTTTTGTTATGTGCGTTTTGTTTTTCCCCTTAGAGATTTTTGTTAAATATGGATTTATTAAGGAGTCCAACAACACACTCCATTCTTTATATCGAAATTTTGAGAAACCACTTATGTTTCCTAATAATGAATAACCAACATGAGCTCATTCTTGTTTAAATCTGTAAATTTCCATAGGAACGTCAAGTGATTTCTTTGTTAGTAGATGTGTTGCCCAAAATCAACAGCTTTGCTTGTAGTTCCCACTTTTTTAAACCATGAGAAGAGATTAAATACTAAGCGCATGTTTGGGAATTTCAAATTGGATTATAATCAAATGGATTATAATCCAAGTGGATTAAGATTTTAGGTGTTTGGTGAAGAGGGTGGTTTATAACCCATATGCCTTTTACTAAAATGAAAAAATAACGCTTTAAAGTGGGAGGAAGGAGAAGGGAAAAGAATGAGATGTAAAACGTGAGGGGCATTTTTGTTTTCTACTTGGTCACACATGTGGACTATAAGTCAGTATCCACCGGAAAAATAACCTAGGATTCGGTGTATAGTCAACCAAAAAAATAATAATTGAGGTATTCTGGATTATTTTTTGGTGGATTATAGTTGAAATAGAAACCCTTACTTTATTATGAGATCTCTTGGGCTTATATAGGCCCCTACACAACTTACAAATAAGACCCTATATATATTACTAATGTCAACACTCCTCCTCAAGATGGGCGAAAGATATCCACTAAGCCCATCTTGTCACATCCTCTAATCATGTCTAATGAGCTAAGTCCTTTAGTCAGACAATCTGCTGCCTGGTCCTTAGTTGAAACATGACTTAGCTCCAGTAGTCCACTATCCAACTTCTCTTTGATGAAGAACCTATCGATCTCGATGTGTTTGGTTCTATCATGCTGCACTGGGTTGTTGGCGATACTGATAGCTGACTTGTTATCACACCATAACTTTATCTTAGCTCCTTGATCCAGCTCCAGCTCAACCAGCATACTCTTTAACCATAACAACTCAGCAACTCCTAAGGCCATAGCTCTATACTCTGCCTCAGCTGTTGATCTCGCCACCACTGACTGTTTCTTGCTCTTCCACGAGACTAAGTTACCTCCTATAAAGATGCAGTATCCCGAGGTGGACCTCCTGTCATCAGCACAGCTAGCCCAATCAGAGTCGCAATAACCCTCGATGCTCACATGTCCACTCTTTCTGAATATCAGCCCTTTTCCAGGGGCACTCTTCAGATATCTCAGAATCTGGTACACATCGTCCATATGACCATTTCTCGGATCATGCATGTAGCGGCTCACCACGCTCACTGCAAAAGAGATATCGGGACGTGTGTGACTCAGATAGATCAACCTGCCCACCAGCCTTTGGTATCTGTCACGATCAACTGGTTTTCCAGCCTCAGCACCCAGCTTGAACTTCTGGTCGATCGGTGTAGTTGCAGGTTTACACCCTAATATCCCTGTCTTTTTAAGAAGATCCAGTGCATACTTTCTCTGGGATAAGACAATCCCCTCCGCTCCGCGAGCTATTTCTATTTCAAGAAAGTATCGAAGCAAGCCAAGATCTTTCACCTCGAATTCCTTACCCAGTCTCACTTTGAGTTTGGTAATCTCCTCCTCCTCATCTCCTGTAATAATCATATCATCCACATATACCGCAAGCATAGTGATATGACCTTTATTTCGTCGAAAGAACACGGTATGATCAGCGTTAATCTGTCGGTATCCCATACCTATCATAGCCCGTCTAAATCTGTCGAACCAAGAACGAGGAGATCGCTTCAGGCCATATAGAGACTTCTTCAATCTGTAGACCTTGACCACTGTCTGTTCTGTGTTGAATCCTGGCGGAATTTTCATGTATACCTCTTCTACCAGATCTCCATGAAGAAATGCATTCTTCACATCTAATTGGTGTAGCTTCCATTCACCATTTACTGCCAGAGAGATCAAGGTCCGAACAGTGCTCATCTTCGCCACTGGTGCAAAAGTCTCATCATAGTCGATGCCGTATGTCTGACTATATCCTTTTGCCACCAGACGAGCTTTGTAGCGTTCAACCTGTCCATCTGGATTCTGCTTCACAGTAAAGACCCACTTACATCCAACTGCTCTTTTCCCTTTTGATAGTTTTACTAACTCCCAAGTAGGTTCTTCTCAAGGGCCCTTAGCTCTTCGTGCATAGCAGCTTTCCATTTCTGGTCCTTCTTTGCAACCTGCCAATTGTTAGGTATAGTAACAGAGTCCAGTGATGCAATGAATGCTCCATGTGCATGGTGGATGTTAGAATTGTTTGCGTCAAAAATTGTTATATTCATTGCGGTATTCATTACAACTTCGGTCGTTACAATGAAAACAAAAAAAGATAGTCTTTTTATAAGACTTTTACACAATGAAAAAAAAAAAAAAATACAATTCTCGTCAAACAAACGCAGAGATCGTTTATCGGTCTTCTGTTTGCGTGGGATCTTTGCCTGTGCCGGGGTTTATCCGTGGACCACCTTAGATCTGGATCCGGTTGATGAAAAATTCGGCAGAGCTTCGTCTTCACCGAGGAAGTATTTGATTTGAAGCGCTGAGATCGACCAAGCGAAATCAGGGCTCTTCTCGAGATTAAGACCAAGCCTAATCTCAAGGAACGGAGGAAACGGGCTTCGGATCTCTTGAACTCTCCTTCTTTATGCCGAAGAACTCGCCAAGATCTGTCAATCCTCGTTGAAATTCGTGCTCCTTTGACTCCTCAATCCGGCAGCACCTCCTCGTCTTGATAATCAATCGCCCCCGCTGAAAGGAGCACCGAGCTCGTATTTATAAGCTTCATAAGTGGTTATTTGGATGAGAACAAGTGATTTGGTCTTATCTTTAGTCAATAACAGCCTAACCACGTTTGTAGATGATATCAAGTCAGTTTGGATGCTCAGGAACCAACAAATCTCGAGAAAAACCATCAAAAACCGAACCGGGTCAAAACAGTGCGCGCAGGACAAGTCTGATTGGCGCGCGCGAGCTGACTGTCGAGCGTGTAGGTCACTTGGCGTTTTCCATTGTGGTGGTTCGTTGTCGTGTCATCAACAGTTTGCCGATTCGCTTTATGCGCTGGTCGGCGTTGGATAATCCTCTTTGATTCGGATAACGACGTTCATCACCTTCTCTTTGTCTTGAGCTGTGTGCGGGCACCCATAGGCATTTTTAGACGCCTACAGATACCCCCTCCAAAGTATTTCAGACTCTTTCTTTTATAGAGGAGTCTGGAATGCTTTGGATAAGATAGGCCATCTCCTCTATTTCGTAGAGCGACCTTTAACTACCTCAATTCTTAACTTCTTCAGCCTTCAATCTATTCATTGTTCCGTCGAATAGATGAAGTTCTTCCGGCGCTGCGTTTATCGTCTGACCGCTGTCGAAATCTTGAACTGAGATTGGTGTGTAAGTTTCTGAACTTAGCTCGTGCCATTGAGTTGACTTTGAACTAATCCTCTCCGTCGGGAATTCATATCTGATTGTAACTGAAATCCTTGGAGTCATCTTTTGCCTTATTTTGGCGAAATTGCTGATGCGTTGACCGGCATCGATCTTTACTGTAACGCGTTGACCGGCGTTAACACAGTTTATACTCGTACGTTTGCTGGAGTCTACACAGTTTAAGCTCTTAAGGCATTGGAGCGTGACGGTCCCAAATGTTGGGCTGCAGGACCAACTATTAAAGCTGATTCATCTGCACGTATGGATCTTATCCTAGAGTTTGTTGGAAAAGAGTTAACCCTTTTAGTGCTACGATATTGAATACGTAGACTTCGTCTTTCTCACGGGAATAGGCTACCCGGCAACGCGTGTTAGGCGTTGACTTTAGGATTTTTGGCTAATCCCCAGCCTTCAACGGATTTGATTAGCCTTTACCGACTACCGTTTGAGTCGGGCTAGCATGCGGATTATTTAAGTCCGTTTCGCATGTGACGTTGTGCTAAAGGAATGAACTCCCTTAGACTTGATGCTACGATATTGAATACGTAGACTTCGCCATTGTTACGGGAATAGGCTACCCGGCAATGTGTGTTAGACGCTGACCTATCCCTACTTAGGCTTCGGGATAAAAGTCCCCAGATTGGAATTCTGGTGTCTTCTTCAATCGGTGAAAGACTAAACCGGCAACGCGAGTTAGGCATTGACTTATCCCTACTTAGGATTCGGGATAAAATTCCCCGCGCGTGTGAGGCGTGGATTTTGGCGTCATTAATAACGGCCTGCCACAATGTCGAATATGTGGGCTTTTGTCCTTTTCACGGTAAAAGACTAACCGGC